CCCCTGGGAGCTTTTTAAAATTTTATACAGTCGGAACACCATACTGTATACATGATTTATGGAGATAACATATACTGTATTATCAGTTTAGAGGGGCATATGAATTGTAGCATCAGTGCACCTCTGGCAAGACTGATGGAGTGAATGATGGGGAGAGTTTCTTTTTTGGGACACCCTGCCTCAGTGGGAGGCAGCCAGTGTGTTAAAAAAAAAAAAAAAAAGCATCTTTCAAAGAATAAAATACTGTATGATCTAATATATGCCCCTCTAAACTGCAATATCCCTACCCCTCCTTCAGAGTGCAGGCACAGAACTTCTCACCTCCAGTACTAAAGTCCAGCTAATTCGTTTCCCTGAATCCCTTCATATATGTTCCACTGCTCACACATGTTCTCATAACATGTGTGCTCTTAACTATTCCTAAAGAATTGTCATGCATGCAAAGATTGAATTAAACCCATCCAAAATATCTTACTTGGCACTGACTAGCTCTCGATCTTGACGCTCTTTGAGCAAACTTTGTGACAAATGCTCTGAATGAAGTTGGAGATCCATCAGGTTACGTCGTTGATCTTCAATGATGTTATGAGACTCCTGAAGTTGCCGCTCCAAATGTTTTGTTTTGATCTGCAAAATAAAATAAACATATAGCTCCAAGGTGAAAGTCTTTCTGAATTGCCTATAAAGATATCTATTAATCTGCTTATCTAAAAAAAAACACACCTCTGTAAACTTAAGCACAACTGTCTTACCTCGGTGGAGGCTTTCCAGCGAATAATATTTTCTGTTTCTTCTTGGAGTTGCTTGTGAATATTAAGCATTTCCTTGGTATCATTTTGTTTTTCATCCAAATCTGCTGTAAGAGATAGTGCAGTTTAAAAATTTAAGAATGCAAGAAATGAAATTTCCAAGTAAACACATTGAACTACAGTACATCACTGAGGACAGGGTTTCTCCTGTAGTTCTACATCATGAGCTCAGCTCACTCAGATAAGCTTTGAGCAGTCAATTTTGGTTTAACCCCTTAAATATGAGAGTATGTATGTCTGCACGGTGAGTGTGTACAGAATAAAAAAAATCTTGCCCCATGCATTAAATGATGGGAAAGCACAACTCTGACCTTGCGTTTGGTAAAAAATAGTTACCTTAAGGTGTTTTCTAGGATGACTTTTATGGTTTTATTGACTGTTTCTTGGTATCATTAGAGAGAATGGAAGACATACTCCAAAAAAAAAAAAGTGTCTGGTTGGTTTCAGGACCAGAAGTAGACTAAAATTAGGCTGAGAGTAGTGAAAATATTTTATTTTTGCTGATTTTCCTAAGGACAGGTAAGGCCTCCCAATCATTCCCGGTTTAAAGTTGATTTTCCTAAGGACAGGTAAGGCCTCCCAATCATTCCCGGTGATACTTTAGTTTCCGAAAAACAAATAAATCTTTTATTTTTGTGTGAATTATGAATTTAAAATGGAAGATGTGTAATATAGGAGGCCTGGGAACATTACTAATAAACAGAGGAAATATTCTTTTAGTGCTAAGAATGTTTACATTGTTTATTTTGGACTATTTTTAAATTGGCATTTTTTTAATTTTGTGTAAAAGTGCCAAATACCGACTTCTGTGCACTTTGTAGGGTAAATTGTAATACTGTAGTTGAATGGTGAGTTTCGTGTGCATAATCAATAGAACAGAAGCATACTAGTGAAATAGCTAAGAATTTTGTTGAATGGAGATTAAAATAGGCCTCAAAGTAGACAAAAATCACTGATGAATTAAAGAATTAAAAGAATGAGTTCAAGAGTTAATATGGACTTAAAACTGTACCAAGAAAACGAGAATACAACCATAAATACTATAGGAAAATGCACCTCAAAGTCGGCATTTAATCCAAAAACTCAGAGTTTTTTTTTCCTCTCATTGTGCACTGTGTGCTGCAGGATTTTTTTTTATACAGTGCACACTGACCACACAGACCCATTCTCTCACATGTGAGCCCACTAGCTTTCTCTTGCTTGATTTGAAGCTGCTAGAATTATTGAGTACATATACATCCGAAACACTGGCTCGTAAGATGTATATATACGGCCGAAACAGTCAAAGGATTAAACCAGTAGGGGGTCAAACAGCACCTAGAAGAATGGGAGGCATTCAGATTCAAACCAAGGAAGAAGAGCACAGTTCCAATTCCTTAGATCAAGAGCCCCTCACCTGCATTACGGAACCTCCCCTGAGGAGTTACTATACTGCAAGGATATGGCTATATTACTGAAATTGTCAAATCTTCGACTCTCCAGAAGAGATCCACTCAGAAAGAGCACTATATCACTGTAACTACAGTATACCCAGATACCTTGTTTCATATGTGAAAACAATTTCTTCAAATAGTCACATATACACTCTTTTTGCTTATCATTTTAGCTTTTCTTAATGATCAAAGTCTTACTGTGACTTATGAAATGTTACAAGAAATTTTACACAAAAGTTTAGTTCTCCCCTAAAAATAGCATGTGCATTTATCACCTGCATCCATTAATATTAATTTTACAATTTAAGTGTGGATTTAAATGATGAAGGATACACCAGTTAATACATAAATTCTTTTTTTGTTTTAACATGCTGGTCATCTCCCACTGAGGCAGGGTGACCCAAAAAAGGAAGAAACACTTTCATCATTCTTCACAAATAATTAATCAGTCTTTGCAGAGGCATGCAGATATGACAGTTCAGATGTCATTCTAAACAGCAAATATCCCAAACCCTCATTTATAGTGCAAGCATTGTACTTCCCACCTCCATATAAAATAATATGGAAAATATAATCAGCAGACAATTTGATGATATGAAACAAAAAACATGAAATAAGCTGAATTAGCCCTTCAAACATGCAGAACAATACGTATATACTTACTCTCAATATCTGTAATCCTCTCAAATGTTAATCATTCCATTGTGTCTGCCTTAGGTTAATAATCAAAACTGTAATTCATCTCTACCAAACTTATTAACCCTTAAACTGTCGAAATGTAGATCTATGTTCACGTGCGTAGCACTGCGACCTTGATTTTCCCCATTTGAAAGCATGTTAAAAAAAAAAGTAGATCTACGTTCGGAGCTTGCCGCACATCAACGTATATCTACGTTTGGACAGTTTAACCTTTTCAGGGTCCGTGCCATAGACCTATGGCTCTACGTTGAGGGTCCAAACCGTAGATCTACGCCATGAGCTTAGTTCACCCTGATAAGCTGTGAATGGTAAATTTGGGCCTAGATATGAGAGAATACATCTATGCGGTATGTGTGCATCACATAAAACAAATCCTGCAGCATACAGTTCATAATGAGAAAAAAAACGAGACCGTAATTTTCGATTAAAACAGCGACTTTACAGTGTTTTTTCGTATGTTTTTTATAGTTGTATTTGCGATTTCTTGGTCTCATTTGATAGAATGGAAGGTATATTACAGAAATAAAGATGATTTTGATTGGTTTTAGTACTGGATATGGCTTGAAACTGAGCTCAAAGTAGCGAAAGTGTTAAATTTTTGCCAATGTTCAAGAGTAAATAAATGACCTCATACGTCTAATACATGCCAGCTGGTGGGTCTAAGTTCACAAATGTGGTGATATTATTTATACAATTATTACAATATTGCATAACAGTAAATCTTCTATTTTTTGGCTTGAATAAAAATTCATTATGTGAATAAAAAATAAAAATGGAATTCATTTGTAAAGCCTGAAAACGTAACTAATGAACAGAGGAAATGTTATTTTAGTGCCAGGAATGCCTGCATTGTTTATTCTGGACCCTATTTTGAAAATTGGAATATTTTGAACTTTGCTATTAAATTGGCCAAATTACCAATTTCCGATCACATTATTTTGTAGTTGAAACAGTTGACTTGGCGATTTCTTGTGCTGAATCGATAAAATAGAAGTAATACTAGTGAAATAGCTAAGAATCTGGTCGACTGGAATAATGTAATTGGCCTAAAATGGGAGTCAAAGTTGGCAAAATCGCCGATGCGTAAATATCGCTGACACGTCAAAATTCGCGAGAGCATAATTTCGTCAATTTTCCATCAAATTTCATACTTTTTGTTTTATTACCTTCGGAAAAAGATTCTCTACCATTTCATAAGAAAAAATAACAAAATTATTTTTTGAAAATTCTTGGACACTGGTGAACACTGAAATTTGGCCTCTGGACCCTGAAAGGGTTAAGGGTTTTAAAGCCATATAGCATGAACTAATTGAATATTCAATTCTCTTGTATTCATTGTAAACTCACCTAATGACCACATGTACAAAATTACTGCCTTATTAATCTTAAGTTTGCTCAAAATGCTCTACATATAAAAGGGCTTTATTATGTACACCCAACTGTTGTACCCTTTGTTCAAGCATGTATCATGCTGAAATAAACTTCTTATTCTTAGTCTTATGAGCACTCCACAACTGAAGGAGTGCTCATGTGTTCTGAATGTTTGGAGGGCTCATAAAAATTGCAGCCTAACTCCAATAAACTATATGTGTAATCTATACAAGAAGGACAAGTGTGGATCCCCTGTACCTTGCAAAAATATCCATTTTCAAACCTTCAAGGAAGGAGGGGGAAGAAATTTGATGCTGGTGAGGGGGCTCTTGATCTAAGGAATTTGGAACAACCATTCCCTGTTTCACATCAAAAAATACCCTCCAAAATGTAATTAAAATAAATAAAACCTAGATCTAGCAAATTATTATTAAATTCATGGGGTAGGGGGAAGGGTTAAACTCACAGAAGTCATACAGCACCTGAGGGAATGAAGGCAAACAGGCTTGGTCCAAGGAAGGGAAGATCAGGCCCAGTTCCTTGGATTAAGAGCCTTTTGCTGGCATTAAGGAACCTCCCTTGAGGGTGGCTCTTAACAAAACAAATTAGAAGCTTACAAATTTAAACAAGTACATATGTATTCACAGAACATTCCTGGTACTGAGACATATACACTTGTCATGAAAGTTTATGAAAACTGAGAAACCTCTTGAACAGAAAATTGAAACACAGATACAATGAGATCTGCATATAAATTTCTGCCTTTTTCTGGTAAATCTGCCAGAGAGCATTTGAAATTGATATATGGTATACAGATTTCCTTTTTTAACCATGCTTCAATTTTTGGTCACATAGCCTTTCACTTTTCATCAATCAATTGTTTATGATACTGAACTTTAATCCAAGCATGAAAACATACAATTTTTAAACCATGCATATACAGCATATTCACCAATGTATAATTTATACGATGCCTGTGTAGCCAAGTATTACCTTTAGAAGAAAACCTAATATACATACCTACAGTGTACAATAGAAAAAATCAAGCTGTTATACAATACAGTATCTCTACCAGGATACTTAAAATATTACAAGACAATACCTTGAAAACTATACTGAATTAAATTATGCTTACTAGTTCCAATAAAGATTAGATTTTGCCACCGAAGTGGCTAGTTTATTGTGCACCCCATATCCATCCTGTGGACGGTAGCGCAAGAGCATATGGATACACAAAAGGCCCAGTTCCAATAAACACTCCTACAACAGTAAAAAATTTACCTATGTTCCTGTGCATGGTATGGTCAGACGATACTTGTTCTCTGGATGCAAGTAAATGAGAAAATCTGGTCTCACAAAGAGAAGACTTTTTGATTGACATCTGTTGGAAGAAAGCACCAGTAAGCTTTTATAAACAAAGTTACAGTATTAATGCTTAAATAAAGGCTCTTAACATGTTTCATACTTAAATACCGAATTTAAAATAACAAGGCAGTCAGGGAAAATTTCCATTTTTCCACAGAAAATGAAAGCAATTCTTTCTTGCCTAGTAGTAGCAGCAGCAAGAAAGTACTATTGTAGTAGCAAGGAAGTAGTAGCAGTAGTAGTAAGGAATAGTAGCAGCAAGGAAGTAGTAGTAGTAAGGAAGTAGAAATAAGGAAGTAATGTAGCTGTGGTAGTAAGGAAGTAGTAGGAGTGGTAATAAGGAAATAGTAGTAGTAGCAGCAAGGAAGTAGTAGTAGTGAGGATAGTAGCAGTAGTAAGGAAGTAGTTGTAGTAGTAGTAAGGTAGTAGTAGTGGTAAAAAAGTTGTGGTAGTAGTAAGGAAGTATTTGTAGTAATAAGGAATTAATATCAGTAGTGGTAATAAGGAAGTAGTAGTAGAAGTAAGGTAGTAGTTGTAGTAAGGATAGACTCCTGGCTGTCTTCAAGAAGGCACTGGACTGGGCTCCTAATGTCAGTACCTGACCAGCGGGTTGTGGTTCATACGTCGGTTTGCATCACAGCCTGGTTGATCAGGCCCTGATCCACCATGAGGCCTGGTCAAGGACCAGGCCGTGGAGGCGTTGACCCACGAAACCCTCTCCAGGTAGTAGTGGCAGCAAGGAAATAGTAGTACTGAAGTAAAGAAGTGATAGTAATAGTGGTAGTAAGGAATTTGTAATAGAAGTAAGGTAGTAGTAGTAAGGAAGTAGTAGTAGTAAGGAAATAGTAGTAGTAGTAGTAAGGAAGTAATAGTAATGTAGTAGTAGAAGTAAGGAAGTAGTAGTAAGGAAGGGGTAGTACAAGTAAGGAAGTAGTAGTAGTAGTAGTAAGTATATAGTTAGTAGTAGTAAGAAGTTAGTAGTAGTAGTAAGGAATTATGGAG